CCACTGTGAGGTGTGAAGAACCTTTGCAGACAATACCTTCACCTGGTGTCAGTGTCATTTACGGAACCTGTTAAATTTGGTTCTATGTAACTCCATGTGACCGGCCAGTGGAGCGCGTCAGTATCTAGGATAGACTAGTCTAGAGCCTAGGACGCGACCTTCGGCAAGCCTTAACTTACACAGTGCCCATATTAGCTAAGTACCTTATCCTTGTTTGATGCATCAGATAGGGGGTGGGTTTATAGCTGGGTAGCTTGTCGTGACGACGTATGGCAACTAAAAATCACAGGTCATTATCTTTCTCTTATTATTAATATCAATTTATTGAGCATAGAAATCTAGTAGTTTAATCTGTTGCTACTGAAAACAATTGTTTTGCAGCGTGTGTGAAGAATTCTCCGAGCTGACATTTACCATGTTAATCAACTCCCAGTGTTCCATGACGAGTCCAGGAGAATCAGAGGATGCGTCGTGACTAACTTCTAAGGAATCGTCATTAAGCTAAGATTCCTTTTGTATTCCTCGAATTTATTATCTGTATTCCTTTACATGCAGAACTCTGTTCATTGGATTAACATGTGTTTATTATGATTATTATTATTCATGTTTATAATCTATGTTCCCATTAATGATAACGATAATGATTTCATAAATATTCATAGGATTAGATTATTATACATTGGACTGGTGAACGAACCACACTAGTTCCTGGACGTATTGAGTTCCAGTAATAACCCCCCAATGTAGGTGTTTGAGGCTTTGATTCATTTAATTATACAGCCCATTAATTATTTCAGTGATCATATTCTCTAGTATTTTATCCATAGTTACTGGTTCATCTAGGAATTTTCTAATGATCATATTTTCTCAGTTTCCCTCTTTACTATAAAAGCGGGTGGTCCTTCGTAATTCATTTTACTATATTAATATTTAAATAATTAGAGTCAAGCCCCAAATGTCCCACAATAAATTCGCCAGATATTCTGTTGGAAATTATTCTTAATACAGCAGTCTTTGGACTTTAAACATCATAAAAACATCTCATATGAATTAACTTAATTATCAATACCAAAATAGAGTAAATGTGACCTTTCTTCAACTTTTGACATCTGGACAAAGTGCCAGGGCGTCAGTAGTGGGAGAGAGGTCAGCCATTGTTTAAGATCATAGTCGCAGAAGCAAATTCAGCTCCCATAATTCTCCCTTGGATGAAGTATTATGGAGATCAAATTAGAGCTTCTTCCATCATCAACACACAATCAACATCTAAATAAGAGAAGTGTTTTTCCGAAATCTTATCTAGTCATTTCCGGCCGGTAATGTTAGGTAGATATGATTAATTCCGGTTAGCCGCATGGCAAGTGACATCACCTAGGTGAAGAAGAGGAAGCAAGAATTAATCTTGGTATAACAGTACATGGGTGGTGGATGCTAGCCTCGTACGAGGACTATTTGGTGTCATCATTCATGTTCATACCTGGTGGACTAAGACTACCATACTGGTATGGAGGGTAGGTGGTTGTTGTGGGAAGGGTCAATAGCTAGAGTCAAGATGTATCATCTACACCACTTTAACAGGATGAATTGATACTTCCCATACACTAACTTATTTATTAAACCTTCTAATAACCCCCCCATATACATTATTACAACTATTTTCTTTACCACTCTACTTTACGTTAAACACCTTGGTCTACATAGGCAGAATGTAAGGTTTACAATTACAAAACTAGGGTAAAGTCTACTTGGAGAAAAGGCTTGAAGCAGCCTGGGTAGCTATGACCCACGTGGTACACTAGTCACAATGGAGTACACTTAGTGATGCCAAAACACTGGCTTAGACTACACAATAACTGTAAATATACCTAACCAGGTAGCACGGTAACTGTGCAAAGATGGTACTTATCTTGGACATAGATTATAGGGAGAGGAGAAAGGAGGAGGAGGAAGACAGAGCCCCACAGGGAAAGTCAAGACACCACAGCTGCCAGCCAGAGAGAAGAGAACCAGCACAGACGCCCGAGCTCATTTAAGTATGCTGCTGGGACGGATACTCAGCTGATCGTACAGCAGCAATCATCACAAGTTTACTCAGACATTCATTGCTAGTTACTTTAGTAATTCTAAGAATAGCTGATAACTAGTTCAATATTATGTTTAATAATCAACAAGCCCAGAGCCTGAATGCTCTGTGAGAAACAAGATTCATCCTACGTCTGGCACGGAAGACGGAACCAAAGGCGTACCTAGGAATTCAGGGTCCATGCATGTAAATGTTATTGTTAATTAAATATCCTTCTCACATGATCCAATCCTATCAATTAATGTATAGTAATTATTTAGAGCTCAATTTGACCTCTGGTTTCCAACTAAGAACCCAGGGTCGTAACACCTAAAATAAGATAAGACCTCTAAATTATCATTACTAATATATGTAGTTTAATACTGTAGTTTAATTGGCTACATATATATAAATTTAATATAACCTCACCCCCTCCAATGTGTAAGGAGCCGATTTGTGAGAATATTGCAGAAATACAGTCTGCTAAACCTCATACAAATTGCTATTGAAATATATAAATTAACATAAATATAAATTCTATAACTTCATATAAATTAAATAAATATAAATCTCACGAGTCGGTTCCCCACAATTCTTTTATACTTAAATAACCTCTTATGGGTATTAATCTCTCAAAATTTCTGGCTCTCCTCCTCTACAGGAATTTGCAAGTAGGCATCTTTCAGGTCAATCTTAGAAAAAATTGTCCCCTTGCAAACCACTGACAACAACTCGTCTATCTTGTGCAATGGGTATTTTTTTGCAATGAATGCGATCATTAAATTCTTTAAAATCTGCACAGATTCTCATGGATTTCTGGTCTGCCTTCAGCACTAGTATAATTGAGACTGCCCACTCACTATGTGTAATTGGCTCTAAGATGCATTCTGCCACATTCCTTTCCAGGGCTGATTTGACCAGTTGCTTGTAATGGAATAGAACTGTTCTTGCATTTAAGATTTTAGGTGATGCCCCACTTTTCAGGTTAATTTTTGCCACTATGCTATTAATTTGCTTACTTGCGTCCACTGAATATTTTTACAACATATCTTCGGCACATTTAAATTTTTTAATTATCGACAATTCATCCAGGCCCGTCAAGAAAATTACCACCTTTTCCATGAGATCCTTATCGCATAGGTTAGGATTATGTGAAACCATTACATAAAAAATCCTGGACATTTTATTTCCTATTATAGCCTACTTTTGCTGACACTCTGCCATAGATCATAATTGGTACATTATTGTATGCACTTAATGATTTTCCATCGGGTTTTACATTCAATTGCAAGGTATCTGCCCAATCTCTAAACAGTGTTGACACTGCAGCACCAATGTCCAGTTCCAAGGGAACTAACTTCCCATTCATTACAAAATTTACCACTTGTGACTTCACCGAACATACTTTTTCATTAACCGAATATAGTTTGTTTTCCCTCACCTGCAGCCTCTTCAGATGGTTTATCGTCCTCTACTGCCTTGACCACCTTACCGTTACCTCTTCTTCCTGCATTTCCCTGTGGTATCATCTCCAAGGCCTTGCTCCTTCTGCTCAAGTATTTTCTGAACACTTTCCTTGTCACAAAAGTTGCATATGTAGTCCTTAAACTTGCAGTTGCTACTACTGTGATAGTACCCACAGTGTTTACATCTTGTCTGACCCTGTACTACTATGATTTCTTGGGTAGTAGATTTCTTACCTCCAAAAGCTCTATCCAGATTCAAAACCTTCTCTAGCACTGTCCATGAAGTCATCGATTGTAAATCCAAGTTTTCTGCCACCAGATTAGGGAAAAATATCCCATTTTCTACTGCCATGAAAAACTGGCCTCACACTCGACCATCAAACTGTGCTCCAAAGTTGTAGTGGTTAGTCAACGTCTTCAATTCTACATATAAATCCTGTAAGGACTCCTGCTGCTTTTTCGTCCTCTTTTGGAAATCCATCAAACTCCTGTGATATGAAGGTTTCACTATATTATGATGATAAAGGATGGTAAAGAGGTCTTCAGAGGTCTTTTTGTGTGGTAGCTCTGGCGCACAAACGTTACCAAGGACACTATAAACTGTTATACTCAGTGAAACTAACATTACAGTTTTCTTGTTTGTGTCCTCCTTAATCCCATAGTACTGGAAGTTTGCTTCCATCAGGATCAGCCACAGGTCCAACGACATTTTGGTAGCATCAAACGGCTCCATTAAGATGACCTCTGAGGTAGCCATGGCCATGGAAGGTTGCACAACTCAAATGTTGTCTTAAATTCCTCCACACGACGTACTCTGCTGACTCCTGATCCTCCACATCTCGTCTTGTACCCGACTCTCTGCCTTAGGTGTTACTATTCCTCGTCGCCACTGTAATGTTTGGGCAGGAGGAGAAACCAACGTGCTCTCCACATGGCTTTATTCCATCAACAACAAACAATGACGTCACCGGTATATGTTACATGACTTACTATTTACAATGCTTATTAACAAAAGAGCATCTGCTCAAAACATGATACACCTAACCTATGTAGCACTTAATCATACAAAATACCTTATTCCTAAATAATAACTGGATACTTAATCCTACATTGTAACCTATTGTAGGATGCTTAATCCTACAAAATACCTTAATCCTAACACGTCCTGTCACATAGTCTGCCACTTGCAGTACTGCTAGAATATGTCCTGTCACATAGTCTGCTACTTGCAGTACTGCTGCAATATGTCCATTCACATAGTTTCCCACTTGAAGTACTGTTGCAATATGTTCTGTATCATAGTCTGCCACTTGAATTATTGCTGCAGTGTTTCTTGTCTCGTAGTCTGTTTGCCTGAATTATTGCTAAAATGTGATCTGTCTCATACTCTGCTATTTAAATTATTCTTATAATATGTCCTCATAGTCTGCCATTTGTTGTACCGTTACAATGACTTTTGTTTTATTTTACAGTAAAGGAGAGTGAAGTGAGAGAGTGAAGCACCACTGACCGTCAGCTGTGAATAATGAAAGGAGTACATCACTGACCGTCAGCTGTGAATAATGAAGGGAGTACATCACTGACCGTCAGCTGTGAATAATGAAGGGAGTACATCACTGACCGTCAGCTGTGAATAATGAAAGGATACATCACTGCCAAGAAAGCGAATTAATTAATTATCAAAGTCTCTGGGAGCTTGTCAGCTGCACTATATTGCTGTATCATTTCCGTTTTGAGTGATGGCTGCTATATCTAACGAGGAATATAATGGGTTCAGATTTAACAAGTTTTTAAATGACTGTGGCAGACGGGTCTTGTATAAAACATTCCGTTGGGGAACGCCAGACAAGCCTGATAATATCAAGCTGGATGATTACTTAAATGACTTGGGAAAACCAGGAAAGTTTAATAAAACTCAAAAGGAATTGATCGATAACAGTCCAGACGGATCAGATTTTGATGTATCGCTGCTCTTCCAGAGCATCAAACTTGCCTGCAAGGATGTGGCGGAGTTCAGTGACCCAAAATGGTTTACTGAAAGTTCAGAAATGGAGTACTACGTTACAGCCATAAAGAACATGAGAAACAATGCTCTTCACGGTAAACTTGCAATTTCTGATGAAGAACTTTTGAAACAGACAAATAATCTACTGGACTTCTTGATTAACTGTCTTAAGGCTTCTGGAGAACGGTATGGACGGGACGAGGCTGAGGTAAACTTAGAGATCAAGCAGGTCGAAGATGATCTGGATAACATCAAACACGAGATTCTTGGAGAAGAAGATTTAATAAAATATTGCAGTGACAAAATAAAGCAGCTTATGATTGAGAATAGCAGTAAGAGATTGGAGGAGGTCTTCCAAAACATTGTTTATATTAACCCGGTGTCTTTTATCACAGATAACCTTTGGCTAGAGGTTGACAAAATATTTGTTGATATCGAGGTCAAACATGGAAAACGGAGAGGTGAAGGTGAACACATAGACTATCGGGAACTTCTTAAACTTGTTCAGAGCCCAGTTGCGCCTCCTTCTATGAGCGCTGCTTCCCAACAACCGAGCCCAGCTTTACACCCTACTGTGAGTGCTGCCTCCCAGCAACTGGGACTCTCTGCACGACCACAAATACTTCTGGTTGAAGGTGTAGCCGGGAGCGGCAAGACTACTTTGGTGACAATGGTAACACAGGATTGGATAAAAAAAGATCAAGGCAAAATAAAAGGCCTAGATAATTACGAACTCATGCTGTGGGTACAGTGTAGGAACTCTATCGTACACTCCTACCTTGACCTCCTGGACCGCCTCATGCCAGATGTATCATTAAAATTCAGGAACCTCTTGCCAAGATTGATGAAGCTTTGCAAGCTGCTAATTGTAGTCGATGGCCTTGATGAAATTAATGAGAACTCGAGAAAACTTGTGAACAGTCTTTTGCAAGAGTTCAAGAATGCTTCGCACACAACATTCATTTGCACGTCTCGACCAGAAAAGCTTGAAATGTTTAAGAATACGATTCCTCGAGAATATGAAGTGACAATTGCTGAGCTACGAGGTATACTTAAGGACCGAATTCTCGAGTTCTTACGTCTAAATCATCAGGTGATAAAGAAAATGACGAAGAGTGAACGAAGTACTGAGCAGCTGGTAAAGGTGGTGGAAAAGTTAAAAGGTCTTCAGGAACACTTATCGCTACCAATGAACTTAATTTTGCTGGTATACATCTGGGATCAGGCGCCAGAGGAGCAGAACATGACGACCATCACTCAAACGGAGCTTTACAATAAAATTCACCGTCTGTGTCTAAGTAAGTTATTGGAGAGACTGGCCAATCATCCACAGACCAACGCCATGTCTAAAGACGACCTAGAGGACGGGATCCAAGGGATTTTAAAGGTGATTTACCGGATATCGCTCGAAAGTCTCTCCCGTGATCAGTTGATCCTTGAGAATGAAATTATAAAGCAAGTAAAATTGACCTGTAAAAACAAAGGTTTACCTCAGGAGGAGCTACTGTCAGCGTTCCTAAGCTTGAAGCCCATTTGGACATGGGAAGGCGTCCAAGAGCGTTACTCTGCACCCCACAAGGGAATCCAAGACTACTACAGTGCTGAACATATTGTGGCAAACATCAAGTGCGAGCTAAAGTCTCATGCTCTCAAAGTCTCACATGACAAGCTTCCAACAACACTTCCCACAACACCTTCCCCATCAGCCACACCGACACCAGCCCGACATAGCAGGTTCTGGAGAGTGTTGAAACATGTTATGATAAAACTGAAGAATAATACACATTTCCCTTCACGTTCTGGTATTATCCGGAAAGTGTTGAAAGAGACCTTAAAAACAGATGAAGTTGGCATAGACAAGTACCAAAATGTTTTGGTGCATGTGGCCGGGCTGTTGCATCTAACCATGGACCAGGTGCCCGAGGCCTTGGTGCGGGAAGTTGTAGCACTCCTGCACGAGTCTGGGATGTGGCGTGAGAGTCAGTGGCTCGATCTTCTCGAGAACACTAATGTCCTCTCTGTCACAGCTAAGGCCGTGGCCCCCTTCATCAATTCTAAAAGAGGTATAGATATAAGTGACAGCCGTGTGAGGAGCTATGCAGCTCTCCTACCACACCTCAAGCCATCTAAGGTATCTATTTCTATCAAGAGTGACCCTTCTGCCCTGCCTTGCCTGCCAGACTTGCTGGCTGGCCTCACCCGCCATCACTGTGTAATGCTGAGTCTCGAGCACCACTACTACCATGACCACACAACCACTTCAGACCACATCCTCCAATGTTTACAGCCTTTGTGAGTTTTTGTTATAGTTAACGTGCATGCTGGTGATTATCTAAATTTTAAAACATATTTAAATTCGTAGACGGGCCTTTTTACACTGTCATCACTGAAATTTCTGTTAACTTGTCAGGTCAATATGCTACTACGGATTTGCTATCCTGTTGCATTACAACAACCAATGTAAAGTTTATGTCAATATCGTATCAGTGTTCACCACGGCTGCAGATGTCGATAATGGTGACTGACAGTATTTGATCATACATGTGTGAATATATATGCTTCTTTCAGCATCAATATCAACTGTGCAGATGTGAATGGAGAAGTGATGGCTGAACATCTCAGTTTGCTAATTGATATCATGATGCTAACCTCATTGTAGTAAGTGACATTAACACAATTTTTTTCGACCAGATGAGTACATGAACTACAAAATGCTTTCATGTATGATGGAAACTTTCATTGCCCCTGCTATCGATGATGACTTTAAAATTAAATTTAACTTTTCATCACAGGATGGGAGAGGATGCTCTCATATTGATCATGTTCTTATCGATGATGACTTAACTGCTCACATCTGCAGTTGTGGGGGAGGGGGAGGGGGGGACGGTTTTTGACTGGATAGCATCCGGCACCGGCGAGAAACAAGGGGCAGTTTCTTTCACCCTGATGCACCTGTTACCTAGCAGTAAATAGGTACCTGGGAGTTAGTCAGCTGTCACGGGCTGCTTCCTGGGGTGTATGTGTGTGAGTTTGTGGTGTGAGGAAAAAATAGTAGTTAGTAACAGTTGATTGACAGTTAAGAGGTGGGCCAAAAGAGCACAGCTCAACCCCCGCAAGTACAACTAGGTGAATACATCTGTGGGTATAAGACAATGAGTGATGGTGTCAATCAGTCTGGCCATCTTCCTGTCAGAGCCGTCTTCAGTATACCTCACTACCAATTTGCTGCTGCGAATGAGAACAAAAGACTCTCAAGAACACTTAAAGTCTGAGAGAAGGCCACTCTACTGGACATTTTTTTAATCTATATAAATATATAAGTAAATGTTCGTTCAAAATCGCTAATCTCCGAAAGTTCTTCATTGACTGCTTTGAAATTTTCACACAACGTTCCATTTGCATCCGAGCGTGTTTTTATATATATAGTATATAGATGTCACGTCTGTAATGGGAACAACACATGCTTTTTTTGAAAAACTGTGTTTTTCATGTGAGGGAAATCTTCGAAACCTCTTTACCGATTGCTTTGAAATTTTGACACAACGTTGTATTCGAATAGGCGCGTGTTTTTATATACCTACTATATACATGCCTCACCTGTCACATGATAAAACATGTTTTTTTGAAAAACAGTGCCATTTGTTGGATGTAACAGCAACACACACTGTAATCTCCGAAAGTTCTTCATCGATAGCTTTTAAATTTTAACACAATGTTCTATTCGAATACACACATGTTTTTATATACCTACTATATAGATGCCATATCTGTGACAGGTAAAAGCATACTTTTTTTAAAAACAGCACCATTTGTTGCACGTAATAGCAACACATGGTGCACTAAATATGTTACAATTCCATTTCAATGTTTCTGATTTCATTTATAAATTGAATTATCATAGATTTTGATTAATTTTCATTTCTATTTAATATTTTATGTGACATTGCATTGGAATTGAGCTGTGTTGTTTACCATACCGTTCATTTCTTGAGTATAAGTATAGATGCCACACACCAGGGATTGGTAAAAACATCACCATCTGTTGCATATAAGAGCAGCAAATGCTATCCTAAATATTTTACGATTCCATTTCAATGTTTCCGATTTCATTGATCAATTTAATTTTCATAGATTTTGATATATTTTCATTTTGATTTAATTGTTTTGTATGACATTGTGTTGAAATTGAGCTGTGTTGTTTACCATGCCATTCATTTCGTGGGTATAGTTTATTTTTTGTATTTCTTCTTTTTTTTCATATCTATTTTTTAACTATTCTTGTTATATTCCTGTGATTGAAACATCAGATCATTAGATGTTCCCAATTTTCTGATGGGAACATCAGATCATTTGGGAATGCATCGGACGAGGGAGTGGGAAATGGTGGGGAGGATAAGGGGATTGGGAGTGGGGGATGGTGGGAAACATGAGGGGAGAGGGGGAGGGGGTAAGGGTGGGGGACGGAGGAGTTGGGGATGGTATGGACGAGAAGACAGGGAAATTGAGAATGGTGGGGAGGACAAGGGGACTGGGGAGTGGGGGGATGTGGGGAGGACGAGGGGACGGGGGAGGGGGAATTGTATGGAGGGCGAAGAAATGGAGGAGTGGGAGATTGGTGGGGAGGACGAGGAGACGGTGGAGGGGGGAATGGTTAGGAGGACGAGGGGGACGGTGGAGTGGAGGATGTTGGAGAGGACAAAGGGATGGGGGAAGAGGGTAATCGTGGGGAGGACGAGGGGATGGGGAAGTGGGGAATGGTTGGGAGGATGTGGGGATGGGGGAGTGAGGAATGGGGGATGTTGGAGAGGACAAAGGGATGGGGGAAGAGGGTAATCGTGGGGAGGACGAGGGGATGGGGAAGTCGGGAATGGTTGGGAGGACGAAGAGATGGGGTAGAGGGAGGAATGGTGGGGAGGACTGGGAGAGAGGGGAAAGTTGCTATGATGGATGAGGGACGCACCTGTGCATGCATTGCTGAGTCACAGCAAAGCATGGCTGGGTACAGCTAGTCTATATCAATAAAAATAAAAATATGTTCATTTATTCAAAATCGCTACTCTACGAAAGTTCTTCACCGATTGCTTTTTCACACCGCGTTCCATTTGCATTCGAGCAGGTTTTTATATACATACTATATAGATGTCATGCCTGTGACGGGAAAAACATGCTTTGTATGAAAAAGCTATTTTTTTCATGAGTTTTTTATGTGAGGGAAATCTTTGAAACATCTTAACGGATTGCTTTGAAATTTTATGACAACATTGCATTCGAATAGGCGCGTGTTTTCATATACATACTATATACATGCCTCACCTGTGACAGGAAAAACATGTTAAAAAAAAACAGCGCCATCTCTTGGACAGCGACATCTCTTGGTTGTTTTATTTAGTTGCTTAAACAATAAAAACAACCAAGGCACACAAAAACTGAGTCACGTCATTGATGTATCATAATAAAACTCTTCTTCGTCTTTAAATAATAGTAGATATGATGGTTAATTACCAGAACACAGACGTTTTCCTATCATACTTACAGTGTCTGATGTTTCATACATCACCTACAATAACCCCTATAGATGTTGTAATCACGCAAGGGAAGAGATGCGTGTAGTCCAAGCCGGCTAATATACATTCCTATGCAATATTCTCCCGCACCATGTCACTATACTGGTGATATGGAATTCAAAGACTGTAATGAGCATATTAAATACGTCCCTGAGGCCCAAGGTCATGTAGTCTTCCAGATTGATACATTCACTCGATCTCTTCGTGATCGTAGTCATCAGCCTTTTCGTGTAGTAAAAATCACTTCTTTTGTTAGTTGGTCCTTTACGTCTTCCGTAATTCTTGCAGATGTCAGATGCTCCGTTCAGGAGTACATCTCCTCTCCTCGCCTCTGCAATAGGTGCTGGAAATTTGGGCATGGTTCTTTCAAGTGAACAAGTGAGATGTCTATATGCCCCTTTGTGTGGAGCCTCGGGTCATTCTAAGACAGAGTGCTCATCCCCAGCTCACTGCAACAATTGTGGTGACGCCCACACTGATGATCTTCTCACATACCTGTGTGCACTACAAATTTAAGGAAATCATCCTCAATTTGAAACAACGCAATTGTTTGTCTTTCCCCGAGTCGAGACGCCAGGTTCATCATCTTTCCTCTTTCTCCAGCATGTCTTATGCTCGTGCATGGCGTTCCAAGTCTTCTCGCCCATTCCCACCTCGGTTCCGCAACTGTTTCCAGGCCTTTGACCCCAACACTTCCACGTTTTCTGTTCCTTTGCATTCTGGAACTGAGGGTCTTTCCCATGGTTCCCCTCCTGGTGTTTTCTCCCTTCGGTATGCAGACGACGAGTCATAATAACGTGAATGAAGAAATAATGACCAAACCACAACTCAAAAGTTGGAGAAGCGACGATGTTACCTTTTCTTTCTTACCTTTTTCTTACATTCATCCTATTCTTACCTTATTCTTACAGTCATCCTTTTCTTACCTTATTCTTACCTTCTCTCTGCTTCTCACCTCATTCTCTTACCTGCTCCTCACCTCTGATCTTACTCTCTTACTTGATATATTTGCCTGTATCTTCCTCTGTTCTATTTATCAGTACTATTTATCAGCTACAATTGTCAGTAAGATAACTATTTCTCCTGATCCAATCCCAGTCCGGTAGGCTTTGGTGGTTGGACTTGGCCAAAACAATGGAAACTCTTGGGGTGCAAGAGCAGGAAATGTCCTAAACAGACTACATTTAAAAAACATGATTCTTGATAGAGAGGGTGATCAACCACACCCAAATTACACTTCTTCTGCACCGTGGAAAGAGCCTACTTTCAAAATAGTAATAGAAAGTCTCAAAATGAAAAAGGCTGCCTATGATCCAACAATCATAAGGTGCATAATAGAAAAGCAAATATATAGCATTGCAGTAGCAGGAGCCACCCACATCTTCTCAGACGGATCAGTTGACACAGAATATGAGAGTGCTGGCGCTGCTCTTTGCACGACCAGCATACAGGCATATTGGAGACTGGGAGGACTAGTATCATCAACCCAAACTGAGCTGTTTGCCATACAACAGGCATTCGCATATGTGATTGCACAAAACAATCAAAATGCAATCATACACACAGACTCAAAAGCTGCACTTCAAATATTAGGACAAAAACAGTGGAAAGATAATGTGGAAATAATTACCACCATTTTGTATCCTGGAGGTAAAGGCAAAGGACTCAACATAACCTTAAACTGGATTCCATCCCATGTTGGAATCCCATTAAATGAGAAAGCCGATG